AGACCGACTCAATACTATGATTAAGGTCTTCGTTCTTGGTCTTCGTTTAGCTCTTGCTCTTATCTTCGTTCTTCGCCTTGTATATTCAATGTTCGACTTGATCACGGCGGTTTGGCATTATCAAAACCTGTTACAAAAACGAACACGGCTTTAGTACGAAAACGTGACAAGCCCGTGTTTCAACAATTTCCCCCTTTTTAATAATGGAAAACGAAACGAGGTTATGCATAGGAGGATTATTTTGAAAAAGATGTTCCCCCTTAGTAGATGCTATTTTACAAAAAAAATTCCCCCTTAATTTATGCATAACCTTAGTATCTTCCCCCTTTTGACATTAACAAAAAGAATAAAAAGTAAACTTTAGAATTGTAAAAGTAAACTTTTATTCATGAAAAAGGGAAATGCGGAATACAACGGAATGGGAAAAAATAAAAAATACAATCATAGGAAGAAGAGAAAGGAAAAGTCTAAGCATCGGCGTCCTCGTCGTCATCCTTGTCGTCCTCGACGTCCATGGGATCGCCGTCGACCGCATCTTCAAAGTCGGCCTCGTCGGGGGAGGAGGATGGAGCATAGGAGTTATCCTCCTCGTCCTCGCCTTCATAGTTTTGGCCGAGGAAGGTGCTGTCAAAGGGCGGCGGGACGTAGTTGATGCCGCGAAAGAACGCCGTCATGTCGTGGTGTTGGCGTTGCAACGTCTAGTCCATCCGCTCGATTGACTGCCCCATGCCATCCACTGTGAGGGTTAGCCGATTCAGAGTATCGGCTATGGATTGCAAAGAGGCCTTGGCGGGAGCGGGGGCTGGTGCACGACTTGGGCCTGCGCCGTCCCGGTCTCCGGACTTTTTCCAGAAGGTGCTTTCTTGAATTATCCAAATCTTTGTCATCTTCGTATCCGGGCCGGCGATGGAGATGTCGGCGGAGATGATGAGGTCCATGACGAGGAAGGCGTATGGCAAGCTCCGCTCAGTGGCGATGGAGGCGCAATCCGCCATGTGAATCATGACGTATTTTGCCCAATTAATCGAGGCGCCGTGGGTGATAGCATGAACCGCCTTGAGATCCTCGTTGAAGAGACATGTGTGGCTACCGTCCCGGGGGCGAAGAATCCGGGTGAGGATGTAGAGAAGAAGACGCTTCTCCGGCGGGGCTGAGTGGATTGTTGGTGCGCCGCTGTGACGGATGAGGTTGGTGATCCCAAGCTCTCGGATGACCACCGCCTCGTTGTTGAGGATCCAATCATCGCCGCCATATGTTG